ACCTCCTGGACTCTTCCACTTAAGCCATTGCTCCCTTTTTGTCCTGCAGTAAATGCCCCGGGGCCCCTTAGTCTTCTTCAGGCTCTGAGGCTTTTCAAGCGTGGACATGATTCAGTCATCTTTTCCTGAATTGCAGAATTCTAAAAATTCTAAAATCTTTTAGAAAAACCATGATAAGATTTCATCACTAGCTACCTGGTACCGGATGGGGATGACTGCCCTTGGTCTAGGTTCCTTGAGCCTGGGGACTGACCCACGAAGTGGCTATAACAAGTCAGCGTCACCCTGTTCTGTTAGCAGTGGTAGTTATCTGGACAGCTCTGCAGCAACCTCAATTCTTGCATCCCAGGAAAAAGAATTAAACTGAAGGGCGTAAGAGCAGAAGGAGAGACCAAGGCAAATTTTGGAGCAGGAATCAAAGTTTATTAAAAAGCTTTAGAGCAGTAAAGAAAGGAAGGAAAGAAAGGAAAGTACTCTGGAAGAGGGCCAAACAGGTGACTTGAGATCAATAGCATGGCTTGACCTTGTGACTTGGGGTTTTATACATCGGCATACTTCCGGGATCTTGCATCATTTCTCCTGAGATCTTATGGGGAAGCTGCTGATCATCAGTTCCAGGTGTTTTCTACCTGCTAGGAGACTGCCTTTCTCGGGTGCTAGCTGTGATCAATTACTGCCTTAGTTAACAACCGCCTGACCACCACCTGATGGTCACCCCACACTCTTGGTGCATGTGTGGAGAGCCTTCTCCTGCCGTGTTCATACCTGGCTAGCTACCTACTGTAACAGCTTAACATAAGCTTCTGCTACCCACTCAGTTATGAGCACCAATAAAGCCAATTCATGTCAATTTCTTGAGCATCTTCTAGGCATTTGCTATGGACACAGAGACTAGGGAGCCCACCATTGGATGGGAGATGGAAGGATCTAATATGTGAGCCCACTGTGAAAAGCACTTCAGGAGAAGTCCAAAGGGATGACGCTGTGTGCTGCAGGGGGCCAGGTTGTAGGGGAGTGTAGCCCCTGGGAGTGCACTTGTGACCATCCTGGGCTCAAGTCCTGGGTCGGCTGCAAAGTGCTGTGACCTTGAGCAAGTTACTTTCTGTGTCTCATTTTCCTCTTCCAAAGGATTGAGGCGGAGATTCTGAGAGGGTCATGTAAGGATCACAGATAAGAGTATCCAGTGCTGGCATGTGCTAGGCTTTCTACAAATACCATTCACAAATGACTGCAGCTGTGTGTCCTTGAACGACTCACCCCAGTCCATGGTCCTATTTCCTCATCTGTAAAATGTGAGATTTACAAGCTCATGGTGCTAGTCCAAATCTCAGGTGTGTACAGAGCAGCAGGTCTTTTCATCTTCTGTAAATCAGTTGAATTTCTGCTGAGTTTTGCAGTATGCCCCCATCTTTCGAGAGCACAGAAAGGGGTAGCTAAGTCTGGCATCCAGGACCATCGTCCAGGAGAGTTTGCTGCTGAGTCCAGCTGCGCCACTGGGGACATGAAGCAGGGGCACATCTGTCCCTTCCTCTCCCACTGTCCCTCCTGCCTGTCCCTGCCTTCCTCACCAAGGTTGAGGGGAAAAATATTGGTCATTTTTGTCAATGCACATTGTTGTGCTTTGATCCAGCTGACTCTCCAACATGCCAAGTCTCGGAGCTGAGCCTGGTGGTCTCTCTTGCCCCTGCCCCATCCCCCAATGCTTCCATGCCCTGCCTGGGCCAACCCAATCTTCTGGAAGTTGCCTTAGTTATACTCCCCGAGACAGGCCACACAGCCCCTCTTCCCTGGGCTTGCCACTCCCTGGGCTACCATCATGGAGCAGGGCTCAAGGCTCTGTCACTCAAGACCTGGGTGTCTCTCTTGCTTCTTTCTTCCACATCCTCCAAGGAGCCTTGGGTTCTCATACGGGCTTAGTTTTAGGCAACAGTACCCTGAAAACCTGGCAGGTGACTTCTGCTGTTTGCCCTGCACACACCTTTTGTGAGGCGAAGAAAGGCAGAGCAGGCTTTTCCTTTCATGAGATAAAGAGAAAGCAGAAAGCAGGCTTTCTATATAAGACTCTTAGAATATTATTGAGCCCCACTAAAAATCTATAATATTTATGGTATATGCACTTAGTGTCGGATACCATGCATTTATTCCTTTAAAAATCTCCATTTCACAGATGAGCAAACAGAAGTTTAGAATGCCTAGCTAAGTTTCCAAGTCACTCAGCTAATAAAAAGTAGAGCTAGGGCTGGGCGCAGTGGCTCATGCTTGTAATTCCAGCACTTTGAGAGGCCAAGGGGGGTGGATCACAAAGTCAGGTGTTTGAGACCAGCCTGACCAACATGGTGAAACACGGTCTCTACTAAAAATACACAAATTAGCTGGGTGTGGTGGCACCTCTTGTAATCCCAGCTACTCAGGAGACTGAGGCAGAAGAAACACTTGAACCTGGGAGATGGAGGTTGCAGTGAGCAGAGACTGTGCCATTGTATTCCAGTCTGGGCAACAGAGTGAGACTCTGTCTCAAAAAAAAAAAAAGGAGCTGGAATATAAACTTGGGTCTCTTCGATTCTTTTTAATTCTATCACATGACCTTCCCTGTACCCTAAACACTTTTCGCAGTTCGTGGCCTGCCTGGATAAGCTCTCCTAACGCTTTGTGTTCTCTGGGTCACAGTTCCTAACAGCGTGTGCTCGAATGTTGTTAGACTGATCCCAATCTTGTGAACAAACAGAACAACTAGGGCTAAGGGATCGTTGATTCTCGGCTTTGAAAGTCACCTTCCAGTGGAAGGGTTGGCTGAGCCTGATGTCCTGGGCCATCGTTCAGGAGAGTTTGCTGCTGGGTTCAGGCGGGGCCACTGGTGATATGAGGCAGAGTGGTGCGGCTCTTCTTCCTCCTGATCTTGTTAACCCCGGAGAGTTCTAGCTCTAGATGTCGCAGACAGGGCCCATTGCACACGGATGTTACTATCCCAAGGGGTGCCCAGAGGTGGGGAGGAGTGAGCTCGAATCAGAGCTGCCTGCACACCTGATTTTGTCAACACATCGGGCCCTGTGATGTGGTGTGCAGTGTGTTAGACTAGGAGTCTCAGGACAGTTTCAAGCTCTGTCTTCACTCCAGGCAAACCCTTTGACCAATCTTTGCCTCCATCTCCTTGTCTGCAGGACAGCGTAAGGATGTTGCCTGCTACTTCCCCGCCTCCTTCTCAAAAGTAGTGGCACAGCCATGCACTCATTCATTTGCTTAACCAAACGTTCCTTGAGCACCTGCCATGCATCACGCTTGGTGCTGGTGTGGGAGGAAGCACTGCTCAGAGGCTGGGCCATCCGCGCAGGATGTGCAGGCCCTGGCCTGGCAGTGCGGCCTCCTCAGGGAAGAAATCGGGAAGCAAGCTGTGCTATTGAGCGTTGGCTTTGATCCCTGCTCCTGGCATTTGGGAAGGGTGGGGGTCACAAGACAGTTGGATGTGTTTGTGGCCACTTCCCAGGGCATGGGGAGTGGCAGTGTCCTGGCCTTCTGGGGACTTGCCCATTAGCTTTGTGAAGGGATACGGCAGGGTGGGAGGCATTGCCATGGTGGGGATCAAATCTCGCCGCATTCCTAACTTTTGTTACAAAATGGCAGTTCTGTTTATTGGCCTCCTGAGGCTCCCTCCTGAGGCCTTTGCAAATCAAACAGATGCAACTCCAGAGCTCATCCCTCTCCACGGCACCACTGTTTTTGGGGCCATGATACACCAGCCTTTTTGGCTGTTCCCGCCTGCCCTGTTTTATACCCCCACCAGGCCTCCCTCTCCACATGCACATCTGACCTGGGATCAGGCGGCTGGCATCGTGCTCTCCCACTCTCCTTCAGACCTGAACCCCTGCCTTCCTATGTTGCCCACCTTACCCTTACTCATCCTGATTTGCCACATTAGCCTCCCCTGGTCTTTGGAACGTGATCTGCTCTGACAGCCTCATGGCCGCGGCCTTTGCTTTCCTTCTTATCCCGACTCTCTTTCTAGCTATAGACCTCAGAGAATCTCTGGCATCTCTGGCCTGGACTCCAGGGGTCTCTGCTCAACACACCACCTGCACGTGTGCTTCTGAGAGGCTCTCTCTGCACACTCGAATGGGACTCAGGGGTCGAGTCTTGGCCTAAGCGGTTCCCTATCCTATCACTGCCATATTTCCCTTCTTATTCTATTGTCTGCCTTCCTAGTCCAGCCCTGCTCCATTCTTTCAATGCCAGTGTGATCTGAGACTGACTTAACTCTCCCCTCTTCAGCACCCTTCCACCGTGGAACCAGGGCCTATGTCCCTAAGGGGTGCAGGTGGCTCCGGCCTGCCTTCCCTCTTAGACTGTGCTCTGTGGGAGTGGAAAGCACACGTGCTCTGTGTTGGAAACCCCAAGCTCCACTCACAGGAATGACAGAATGAATAATTCCTCTCTGCCACAGATGCCACTTTGGGGGAAGACTGAGTCCCCTGCCACTGGAAAATTTTACTGGGGGCATATTCATGGATAGGGCAGGGTGCCGGCTTCCAGTGAAGTCAGATCTGAGGTGGGGAGGCAGATAAGGTTGGAGTGGGATCTGCGGGGAGCAGGCCTCTTATGGAGCAGAAGGTGGAACATGGAACACATTTCTGGCAGCTGCCTCCCTGTGTCGGCTCCAGGAGTCCTGTTTGGAAGTGGGGAGCAGGTCAGAGAGGCCGGTGTTGACGTCTCAGTCTGAAGACCCGGCATGTATATTTTTCAACTTTGAAGTCCCTGGAACACAGATATTCTGAGATAACACTCAGAATACCTAAGACCCATATGATAAGGGCCACGAATGGCCTCACTCAGTGTGAGTGGCCTTCATCAGCATGAGTCCTAGGTGTTCTCAGTGTTATCTCACTGTGTTTGTGGACTGACCTGCAGTCAGGGGCTATCTCTGAAGTCTGGGCTTCCAGCCACAGGGCACCTGGCTCCCTCTATAAAGGCCATGAGGTGGATGCTGGCTGGAGTAGTGGACAGCCTGCGGTCCAAGATGAGGGGCTTTGTGGTGCTCCTTGCAGTCTTTGCTCTCTCCCAGGCCAGTGGAATTGTCAGGTGAGTGTCTCCTTGCCCAGGGGAGGGCAAGGAGATCTCATCATTCTTTCTGGGAGGTCTGTCCTTGATCTTCCAGCCATTGGTCCCCAGGGAGTCTTGGGAGAAATGCTGCAATTCCCAGGATAACAGCTCCCTGTCAGTCTTGCCTTTGCACGCTGGGACCTTTGCTTCTGTCTACCCCTGCACGTCAGAGTGTGGTGAAAAGAACAGGGAGCCAGATGGGCAACTAGGGAGATAGGGCATGGCTCTGGAGTCAAACTGCCTGGGGTTTGATCCCCAGCTCCATCACTAAGTTAACTCTCTGTGCCTCAGTTTCCTCATTGGTTCCTAAAACTTGGATAATGGTAGTGTCCATCTCATAGGGATGTTGTGAGGATGATAGGAGTTAATATTTAAAAAATGCTTCAAACGGTACACACTATAAAAGCTCTATATGTATTTGTTAAACAAAATTAAGTCCCCTATTGTACTAAGTCCTTTGTGGGTGAAGATAACAGGTTCTCCTCCCAAAATAATTGACACTGATGGAGCTGTTTGCTCCTAGGCGCCAAGCACTTCACTAAGTCCTTAACTATGCGATCACTAATCCTCATGGATTAAGAAGATATTATCATTTGCATTTTACAGATGAGACGCTATTGTTCAGGCAGGGTTCCTAAGGAGGGTGCCTGAGCTGTCTGAGGCCGCATGGCTAGTAGTGGAGGAGCGAGGACGGGGCCTCAGGTGGACTTGCACTCTTGCCATGACATCACACGGTAACCTGCAGGTGCTCAGGTTTGAGTCTGGGGAAGCCCTGAGCACAGGGAAGGCCGGATCCCTCCCTGAGAAAGCTGGGTCCCTTAAAAGGGATCAGGGTGCCTCCAACTGGCCAGGAATCTTTGCAGCAGTCCTGCAAATAGAGTTCCTCCAGGTCCCAGGTGCACTAGCTGCCCCAGCACTTGGGACGTGAACATCCCGCGAAAACCAGTACTCTCTGAGAGTCTCAGCACTGCTGCCACTAGAGGGCTCTCAGACCACTTTCGCATCTGCAGTCGCATCTCAAGTTGTTCTTCAAACCAGTCTCACAGAGGAGGACCACATGGTTTTTGGGAATCGCTGAGTTCTACTTCTATCTACAGGAGAGGAAACTAAGAACCAGAGAGGTTGAGCCACAGGGCTGGTCAAAGGCAGGGCCAGGAGAACAGCTAGAAAGGAAAGGGTTACCTAAGGGAGCTGAAGCTCTGAGGGCTTTGAGGAGCCGCCCAAGTAGACACAGGCAGGGCAGCGCCAGGTCTAGAACCAGCTTCTGCGTTTCCTCTCCTGATCTCTTCACCATTGATCTGCCACCATTGTCTAAAACTCAGCCCTCCTCAGGAGGCCCCTGTGAGACCAGGCTCTGTGCTGAGAAGCCTTTTGATAATTTTCCACCCATCTTAGGGAAAAAGCCACCCAGAGAGTGGAGAAATGGGGTTAGCAGAAGCCAGGATCATTGTGGTTGCATTTGCCAGCTTGTGGGGACGCCGTTTTCTGCTGCAGACAGTGCACTCCCGGAGGGCAGAGACGTGTCCTTTTCAGTACCATGTCCCGTGGGCCCTGTGCAATGTCTGGCACAGCAAGAATTTGGTGACTGAATGAGTGATAATGTGCTTGGTGTCTTTCAAACCATGGGTTTCAAAACTCATTAGTGGGTTGCAAAACACCTCTAATGGGTCTCCACCAGCATTAAAAAAGGAGAACGCAATAGAAAATATGAAGGGTATTGCGGTTTGTAAGGATAGGCATTGATTTTTGAATTGATGTAAAACACATTTCTTACTTTGAGTTATGATTACAAAAAAGTTTGAAAGCCATTGGCCTGGGGTCAGTGGGCCATTGACTGGAAGGCTGGCTGGGAACAGAGTGTAGGGAATGGTTTGTGGAGCCCACTTCTGGGAGGGTGAGCAGCCTGTGGGAGATGCGCATCCTCCTCACGAATTCTTCCCCATGTCCCCAGGATTCCTCTGCACAAAGGGAAGTCACTGAGGAGGGCCTTGAAGGAGCGTGGGCTCCTGGAAGACTTCCTGAAGAATCACCAGCATGCAGTCAGCCGGAAGCACTCCAATTCTAGGGAGGTGGCCAGCGAGTTTCTGACCAACTACCTAGATGTGAGTGGCTCTGCCATCCTTTCCACTATTGACGTGGAAAGCGCCCCTCAGCCCCTGCCTCGCCACAGCTGCTCCTCTTTCAGAAATCTTGGAGCCTGTGGTAGAGGTGGTCTCCCTGCCCTCAGTCAGCTCCACAAGGGGCCGGCAACCCAGCAAAGGCAGCCCTCCTGCCTGCCAGCTCCGAATGCCACCAGGAGGGTCTGAGACAGTCTGAGCTCAGGCACCTTCCTCACACAACATCCCCAAGGGTGCATGAGCTGCTCGCCGCCCCCCCCCCCCCCCCCCCCCCGCCCATCCAACCTCACACCTGCCTTCCCGGCCAGGGAAGCCCTGTCTCAGTCTGACTCAGCAGGGATGGAGACAGCTGGTGCCATTCTGCAGCTGCCCAGGATGCGGCCGCCAGCTTGCTCTTCCTCACACCTAGGACCCAGGCAGGAGCGCCCCTGCTGCCCTGTTCTTTCCTGGAGCTTGTCTTTCCCTCAGCCGTCACTCTCGCCAGTAAACAGCCAGGCTTTTTTCTCTTCTGTGCTCTCATTTCCTTATCTAGGTCATCTTCACTGCCCGCCCCCAGCCTCGGATCTGACAGTGGGGAGAGCTGGCAGCGAGGCGCGCGTGGCAGGGGCCACTTGGGCTGGGACTTGGGGCTCATACCTAGCTGATGCCCCACCTCTCTGTCCAGGTTCCTTTTGCCCTGGCAGGGGTGGCCCATGTCCCACCCAGGCAGGATTTACATTTAGGTCCCACGTCTGCTTCTGAGGCAGATTCCAGCAGTGGTTGCATGGATTGTGGGAGGATGAGGCCAAGTGTGGCTGGGGGTGGGAGCCCAGGAGAGGGATGGAGGTCAAGAACCCTCCTCAGCATCTTCCCTCTCCTTCTGCTTCTTCCCTCTTGAGACACCTAGGCCTCTGGGCAGAAAGCACAGGGCCTCCACAAGTGCCTGCACTCCCTGCCCAGCATTAACCCACACCCTCCTGCCCCCTGGTGCTCCCACCTCTGACCCGGTGCCGTCTGCCCTCAGTGTCAGTACTTTGGGAAGATCTACATCGGGACCCCTCCCCAGGAGTTCACCGTGGTGTTTGACACGGGCTCCTCGGACCTCTGGGTGCCCTCTGTCTACTGCAACAGTGTTGCCTGCCGTAAGTGACTGCTCTCTTCTGCCCCAGCGCCTCATGTTCCGATGCTCAGGCTGAGTGGCCGGGGTGGTCAGGGTGGCTGGTGGGAAACGTGGGGTGGCTGGACAGCTGGCTCTGACCTTCTTAGCCTCCCACTGTGGTCCATCTCCTCACTCATCCTCCTAACTCACCACAGATTTGGAAGATTTGAAAACCATGGGTCTTGGCCAGTGCGGTGGCTCACGCCTACAATCCCAGCACTTTGGGAGGCTGAAACAGGTGGATCACTTGAGGTCAGGAGTTCAAAGCCAGCCTGGCCAACATGGTGAAACCCTGTCTCTACTAAAAATGCAAAAAATTAGCCGGCTGTGGTGGCAAGCACCTATAATTCCAGCTACTTAGGAGGCTGAGGCAGAAGAATCATTTGAATCCAGGAGGCAGAGGTTGCATGAGCTGAGATTGTGCCATTGCACTCCAGCCTGGGCAACAGAGATAGACTTTGTCTCAAAAAAAAAAAAGTCATGAGTCTTAGTTAAAAATTAGGGACCCTTATTTTATTTTTTTGTCTCTATTGGGAGCCAAGACAAGCTGCTTACCCTTTTGGAACCTCAAGTTTTGTTTCTATAAAAATGGGGCTATGAGGTACCTGTGAGAGCTGGGAGAGTGAAGTGAGAAGGTCTATTACAAATAATGAGTACATGCTTAACACATGTTAATGATCGATTTCTCCACCAGTCCTGGGAGATTGGTGCTCTTTTTATCCCCATTTGACAGATGAGGAAATTAAGGTTTGAAGAGGAAAAGGAACTTGGCTAAGATTACTCAGCTGGTAAAAGCAAAACATTCACAGAAACCTGACTCTTTAGGGATGGCTTTTCCCTTTCGTTTCTGTGTGGAAGCTACACAGGTGGCACTGGGAGCCAGAGCAGTGGGTCCAGCAGCAAAGAAGAATGTTCTCTTTTCAACTGTGGGACCAAGGCTTTAGAGACAATGGGCTGCTTATCCTCTGTAGAGAGAACTGCCAGTATCGAGGCCATATTCTCACAAGGCCTGCTGAGGGTTTCAGCCCTGGCTGGCGCTGTGAGTGGGAGAAGATTCTAAGGGCCCCACTAACTCTGGGTCTGTGTTTCAGAAAACCACCACCGCTTCGACCCGTCCAAATCCTCCACCTTCCAGAATATGGACAAGTCCCTGTCCATCCAGTACGGCACGGGCAGCATGCAGGGCTTGCTGGGCTACGATACTGTCACCGTAAGTGGGGCTGTGCCGCAGGTGCTCACCGCGCCTTTCCCACGCGCCTTTCCCACCCGCCTTTCCCACCGGCCGCTCTCCCTCCCGCACACTCTGGTGGCCGCACTGCCACTGTGCCGAGGAGCCCTTTGGGTGCTGCCTGCCCAGGTGACTCAGGGGGTGAGGAGAGGGATTTTAGCCAGCAGCCAGCTGTCGGCTGTCCCTTCCTCCCGCCTCTCCTTGCCGTGGCAGCACACAGAAGACCCCGAGGGCCCTCTCAGGTCCAGGTTCCCGGCTCCCCAATCCCTTTTCATGCATCCTTGACACAGTTCGTTCTGAATTCTGAGCTGGTGCTCAGTGTCCTATTATGATCTTATTTTTAAATTTGGTTTTTTTGACAGCCCTTTGAGGAAAGTATCATTATCCTCATCGTTCAAATGAGGAGACTGAGGCTTGGATATGTTGCTAACTCACCTGAAGTCACATAGCTGGTGCGGGGGAGCTGAGTGAGGGCCTCGCCTCTGACTCTCTGAGCAGTGCTCTTGGCTTGACCTCACGCTTTGTAACTCAGAGCAGCATCTGCTCTCAGGTCCGAAAGCACCCATCCCTCTAGGATAAGGGCTCCCCTTTCCCTTGACCCTTTTCGGCCTCCAAAGCACCTAATACAGTGATGGGCACGTTTCCTTCCGCATGCACCTTCTGATATGAGAGCTCCGGCGGTTTCTCTCGGGGCCGACCGCCTCGATTTTCCTCAGGCTCTTCCTTGGGTCTGGCTGAAGTCTTTCTTGCCTTCAGTCCAGAAGGGCACAGTCCTTCTCTGTAGACAGTATTTTTCTTGGTGGGGAGCTGCCCGCCAGGGTGTCCTGCTCAGGCCTCCCCAGGAGTCCATGCCAGATAGCAGAGGTCTTGGCATTGCCTACTGAGCTGCCCAGCAGTCAGGCCTTTGCTGGCCAGTTCCCCATGCTTCGTCTGCTGGCCTGAGCCATTGCCTTCTTCCCTGCTGTTTTGGGTGCATCTTCACCGGAGAGCTGGCCTGGTGCCTGGCCATCTCAGTGGTGCTGCAGTGGCTTACTGTCACTCACCATCTTGGGCAGGGCATGGGGAAGAGAGCTTCATGGTAAGCCCCACTCAGTGGTCTCATGTGGAAGCAGAACAGGTGTGGGGTGGGGCATGTCAGACGCCCTTGCCTGCTTTGGGGCTGGCCCCACACAAGTCTCCGCCTCTGCATGTTTGGGCCAGAGTTGCCTAGGGCCAGTGTGGGGACTAGGCTAAATGGGGAAGTCATCCCAGCTTCCTGTTTCAAGCAGGAAGGTTTTGGGGGAGGAGGAAAGATGAAGAAGTCTAGTAGCCCCATCCTGGCGCCTGGCTCAGATGATAGGAGGGAAATCAGGGTCAGGAACAGGAGAACAGGAGAAGGGGTTGCTATGGGAGCTGTGGGCAAAGCAAGCGGGGGCTGTAGGCACAGGCTGTGGGGGACCATGGAGCTCTATTCCATCCAGGGCTCCCATCCAGGAATGTCCTGAGGAGGATCCCAGAGGAGGGGGTGTGGGATGCTAAACTGTGAGGGGAAGGGGACCCATGGCACTGGGCACTGCAGATAGGGGCAGGGCTCTGGGCTGAAGACACAGATGTCTCTCCATCGAGCTGTGTGACTTTAGGTAAGCCTCAGTTTCCTCACCTGTAAAACAGGTATAATAATACTTACTTCACAGGGCTATGGTGAAGATTGAACACACCGAGTATTCATTATCTGTTTGCCCTTTCATTCCCCATGCCCCATCTGTCCCCACATCCTGTTGGCCTCCTTCACAACCCATCGAGGATCTGACCACTTTGAATACCTCCCCGGGCGCCTTGGGTTCTGTGTGGCCGTCTCTCCCCTGTTTGACCGCAGCAGCCTCCCAGGGCACTCGCTGCTCCTGTCCTTGTCCCGCCACCATCTGACACAGCAGTCAGAGGAATCCTTTAAAAATCTAGGTCCTGGGCCAGGCGTGGTAGCTCACGTCTGTAATCCCAGCACTTTGGGAGGCTGAGGCAGGTGGATCACAAGGTCAGGAGTTCGAGCCCAGCCTGGCCAAGATGGTGAAACCCCATCTCTACTAAAAATCTATAAAATCAGTTGGGTGTGGTGGCAGGTGACTGTAATCCCAGCTACTTGGGAGGCTGAGGCAGAGAATTGCTTAAACCTGGGAGGTAGAGGTTGCATTGAGCCAAGACTGTGCCACTGCACTCCAGCCTGGGCAACAGAATGAGGCTCCATCTCAAAAAACAAGCAAGCAAACCAACCAACCAACCAATGACCAACGAAGCCCTGTCATGCTCTCCCTTTGCTCAAAATCTTCCTCTGGCTTCTGGTCTCACTCGGAGTCAGTGAAGAGCCCTCCACGACTGGGCCCCGTCTCCTGGCCTTCTCTCCCCTCTCTGCTTCATTTGCTGTTCCCTCCGCCCCACGTGACCCTGGGAGACTGGACTGTCTTAGGCCAGCCGTGCATTTCCCACACATCTCCAATGCTCCTTCCTTCTTCAGCCTCTGCCCAACATAATTTATCAAGGAGGCCATTTCCCACTGTTGCATAAGATATCCTGCTGCCTTCTTGCCTTTGCCCTGATTTATGTTTCTTCAGTGTGCCTGCTCCATCTGACGTGTTCTACATTACTTCCTTAAAAAACTTATGGCCTATGTGTCCACTGGAATCTAAGTTCCCCAGGGCAGGCAGTTTCTTTGGTTCATTGCTATGTTGGAGGCCTCCAATTACTGTTTCTTGGCAGAAAGAAAGCATGAATGCGTGCACTCTTTAGTACTTAACCAAGACTATTTATTCACTCCACAAAAGCTTATGGAGCCTCATTCTCAGAACTGAGGATACAATCATGAACAAGAAGGACAAAGGGCTGCCCTCCTAGTGCTTACACTCTGTTAGGGGAGACAACGTGTAAGCAAGATGACTTTGCACAGTGTTGGGCAGCCTGAGAACGAAACCAGAAAGCATGGAAGAGAGTGCCTGGGGGCCGGGGCCGGGGCCAGCGGATGTGATGGCTTGTTGCAGCTTGAGGCCTGAATGAAGCGACTGTAGATGCCAGACCTCAGAAGATCTGGGGGAAGGCAGAGGGAACAGTAAGTGCAAAGGTTTTGGGGCAGGGTGAGTGGGGGATCTGAACGAGAGGAAGAACAGCGTGGGTGCAGCAGAGTGAGAGGAGGTGGGGAAGCAGAATCACGGTGTGAGGGGACTCCAGGACACAAGCTTCATTCTCAGCCCACTAGGATCCACCGGAGGGTTGGAGCAAGGGGCAGCAGGACTGGATTTTCCTTTTACTTATATTTGTTTTATTTAAATTTTTTGCTTTTTTCCTATTTTTTTTCAGAGATAGCAGCTCACTCTGTTGTCCAGGCTGGAGTGCAGTGGTGCAATCATAGTTCATTGCAGCCTTGACCTCCAGGGCTCAAGGAATCCTCCAACCTGGCTGATTTTAAAACTTTTTTTTTAGAGGCAGGATCTTGCCATGTTGCCCAGGCTGGTCTCAAACTCCTTCTCTCACGTGATCCTCCTACCTCCCAGGTAGCTGGGACTACAGGTGTGCACCACCACACTGGCTTTGGTTTCCATTTTTAAAGATCACCTTGGCTGCCCTGTGTGGAGGGTGGATTAGAAGGAGCAGAGTGGAAGCAGGAAGGCTGGTCCAGGTCACTTTCGTGGTCAGGACAAGAGGCAGTAGTGGTCAGATGAGGCTGGTGGATACATCGGGCATCCAGGGAAGTGGGCAGCTTAAGAAAACATTTTGGAGTTAGCACTTTCTTAGTGTAGTGCCAATCAATATTCAATAATCAAACACTTAGTACACGTCAATAAATGTTCGGTGTTAGTATTATATAGTCTAAACACTGCCTTGAGGTGTAGGTATTATTATTCCCTTAAACAGATAAGGGGATTGAGGCTCGGGGAGGTACTTGTTCAAGGTCACACGGTCAGCACGTGGCAGAACAGGAGCCCACGCCTGGGTCTTGGAGATGTAAAGCGTGTGCATGGTCTTTTCTGACTTCCTGCTGCCTCTATGGCTGTTTGCTGGGAGGTGTTCCAGGCACAGCTGGTGGGAGCGCTGCAGGCATGCAGAGGGCCTTAGACCATCCCTCCTTCTGCCTCCTTCTTTGAGCTCAGTCCCAGCTTTTGCACAATGAGCACCAGTGTCTGTGCCCACCTGGTCCTCCATTCCCCTCCTCCCCTGCCTCACTGGAGTGATTCCTCAAAGTCATTGCACTAACTGCTGGCAAAGGTGAGGAGGTTTTTGTTGTGTTGTTGTTTTTGTTTCTGTTTTCTTTCTCTTATGGGCAAATAACTATGTTGCCAGTAAGAGGAAAGGCACTGGAACTGGCTCCTGACCCGGGACTGGCTGCCCCTAGGCCTGGCATGTTTCTGTCTCTGGCTGTGGGACCTAGTAGGGGTCATTATGATCCTCTTGCAGGTCTCCAGCATTGTGGACCCCCACCAGACTGTGGGCCTGAGCACCCAGGAGCCTGGCGACGTCTTCACGTACTCCGAGTTTGATGGGATCCTGGGGCTGGCCTATCCCTCTCTTGCCTCTGAGTACTCCGTGCCTGTGTTTGACAACATGATGGACAGGCACCTGGTGGCCCAAGACCTGTTCTCAGTCTACATGAGCAGGTAGGAGCTGCGACAGACCAGGGCCTAAGTTTGATGTCCTCTTAAGGACTGTTGGCTGCAGAGACTCCACTCCTTGGGGACACTGCTACTCAAGGGTAGTCGCCAGCATCCAAGCAAACCTTCTCCTTCCAGGCACATCCAACCTCTTATTCAAAGGTCCATGATACAGTCATTTATGCAGCCAGAGTTCACTGGACCAAAATCTGACCTTCCTTTCCGGCATTCGAAAGCAAAGCCTGATCCCACCCCTGTGTAGGGGCTTTCAGGTTCTTTTTCCCAAACCTGCAGGGCCTCAATAACCATTTGCTGACGTCACTGAGATGCACAGACTTTTAGGGCTGTCTCTAAAGGAGTCCAACTACTTCTTTGACTGGGGAGGAAGCTGAGGCCTGGGGAGGGACTGACACCCTGAGTGGTGGTGGCTGAGCCAGGCCTGGAGCCCGGGGGTCCTGCTCCCAGCCCTGTACTTCCTACTCTATCTCCTGCACCCTGTGATGACGCAGCTTGGCTCAGACTGAGGGGAGGGTGGCAGGGAGGAGAAAAGGGGACCCTCCCTAGGAGAAGTTGCTGGATGGCTGAGGCAGAGGAATGAAGTTAGGGGTTAATGAGTGCATTCATTCACTCTGCAGATACTTACTGGGCCCTTACTATGTGCAGGGGCTCTGCCAGAGATGGGGACACATCAGCAGATAACACAAACTGGCAGCACTGCATCAAACAGTTGTGATAAGGGTGCCAGAGGGGAGATTTGGGTGCGTCAGAGGCTGAACAACTGGGGAAGCACCAGCTGAGGGCAGCCAGGCCAGGCTTTGCTGAGGGAGGAGTGGGCGTTGTCCAGGGAGAAAGGATACACCAGAGCCGGGAGCTGGGATGGGCTGGATGAGTTCTCGGAGCCCAGGGCAGGGCTCCGGAAGTGGGTGGGTACAGTGTATGTTTCCCACCCTGTGTGAGACACGGCCCCAGGAGGAACTGAGGGGATTTGTGTTTGGGTGACAGTTTCAATCCAAAGTGTAGATTTTGTTGAAGATTCCCCTATCCCCCTGGAAGCAGAAAGCCCTGAGTGGCAGCCACAGGAAGTAGGGGCATAGGGAGCAGCTGGGAACACCTGAGAGTGGCTGGGGCAGAGGCTGGCAGTCCAGGGACCTGTGGGGTGGGTTACTTCTCTGGGGTCGGGGTGGGGGCTGCAGTGCGCAGGAGAAAAAAATGCTGCCGCTGACATCAGAACAAGCCCAGTGGAGCAGGAGTCAGAGGAAGCTGGAGACCTCATCTGAAGCGTGGGGTGGGAGTAGGGCCAAGGAGAGTGCACCGGGTCTCAGGATTGTTGGCCCCAGGGTGGGGCTGGACACCTCTTTTCCGAGCCTCGCTAAAACAATGCCCTACACCTTGGTTTTAGGAATGAGCAGGGGAGCATGCTCACGCTGGGGGCCATTGACCCATCCTACTACACAGGCTCCCTGCACTGGATACCCGTGACCGTGCAAGAATATTGGCAGTTCACTGTGGACAGGTGGGTGAGCGGCCACCCGCTGTGGGCCTCAGCCAGAGGCTGATCTAGGTGTGAGGATGTGAGGGCCGGGGCATCAGGCCACACACTCTGAGGACTGCAGCACAGTAGCTCCTAAGACCACCCACGAGAAATCTGAACCAGACACTTCCAAGGCCAGTGACCTTTGTCGGCGCTAGGGCCGCATATTCTCCTGTGCGTTAGGAAGAAGACCAGCTATCTTTATGGGGTACCTACAGTCTGCTAGGCACTGTGCTGAGTGATTGTATGACTGTCTCATGTACTCCTCACTGAGACCCCATGAGGTGGGTGCTGCTGTTACCCCCACTTTACAATGGACTAACCTCGAGTTTCAACCTCATGACCATCCTTTGAGGAAGTCAAGGAAAGGGTTATTATTAATGTACCCATTTTGTAGATGGGAAGCCTGAGTACACAAGGGTTGGGTAAATGGCTGGAGATACACGACAAGTAAATGGTTGTCAGTAAAAAGCTGGAAACCAGATCTCAGGAAAGGAGTAAGGTACTCGTTCTACCCCTTAATGCGGGTGAATTGTTATTTTATTAAAGTTTCTGTCCCAGGGAAGGTGGGATGTCCTCAATTTAGCCACTGAGTTGGAGGTAAATGGTTTTAGATCTTTTCTCTGTGCTCAGAAAGTACTGGGGGCTCCAGGAAGGGGCCCCAGGGAAGGGGCTGAGGGCTGGGGGCCTTCCCTCCCTACTACAGATCCTGGCAGGGAAGGGTGGGAAGGACCTGCAGAGGTGGGGCTGGAATGAGGCTATCCTGTGTACCCTGGGCAGTGTCACCGTCGACGGCGTGGTGGTGGCCTGTGACGGCGGCTGTCAGGCTATCCTGGACACCGGCACCTCCATGCTTGTGGGGCCGGGCAGCGACATCTTCAACATCCAGCAGGCCATTGGAGCCACCGAGGGCCAGTACGGTGAGGTGAGGCCAGGCCCCACGGCCCCACGAGGTTCCGTTGAAGTCGGGCCCCTTCACACACGTGAGATGATGCAGGGGTGGTGAGGGAGCCGGTTTCCCAGCCGAGGTTATGGTGTCTCCAGAGGTATTTGCAGGGGCCTTTGGTTTTGGCTCCATTGCTGTGGGAGCCCCCATGCCTCATCTGGCGGCTGCCATCTGACCTCCTCTTCCTCTGGGAGCAGTGCCCTCCCTGACACGCTGGCCTGTGCTGGGCCCCTTGTTCCTCTTCCACCCCCAAGCCTGCCCCTCTCCCCTCGACAGCCAGGTGCTCCCAGCTTCCCTGTGAGTTCTGGCTGGGCCTAGGCGGGGAGACACTGAGGCACCCCCTCTGGGTCCCAAGCTTGGGTCTATCCCTGGGTTCATGACAGCTGTGACTCTTTTGAGAACCATGTTTCAGGACCAGGCCTCGCCCTCAGAGCCTCCTTGTGGTCCTGGGTGTAGGCAGGGCTCACTGCCCATACGATGGCTCATGAGGTGGCGGGAGGGGTTCTGGGCCTCTGCCAGTCAGGTTACACCCTCGCCGCTTCTAAGAGGACCTCCCTGGGTTCTTTAGTTTGACATCGACTGCGGGACACTGAGCAGCATGCCCACGGTTGTCTTTGAGATCAATGGCAAGAAGTACCCACTGCCACCCTCTGCCTACACCAACCAGGTATGAGTCCCTGAGAGGAAGCCTGGGCTCCTCCTCACCCTTCTTCCCTACCAGCTTCCTCCCCTAACTCCCAGTTGCGCCCCTGATGAGGCAGCAGTGATGGTGGTGATAAGAAGTGGCATGGACTCCACAGAGAATGGAGGGACATGCATTTGGATGACAGGCCCTTCTGAGTGGGCCATGTTGTCTTGGGGCTTCATTTGTGGCCACTTCAGCCTCATCCTGGTAAAAATGGGGAACAGGAGGGATGGCACACCAAGGTATGAGGGAGGCTGGGGTAGGCAGGCCCGCAGCTCCCCATGGGAACCTCCCTCCCTGCTCAAGCTTCTAAGTCCCAGGGCCGAGAGCTCTGTCCAGGGTTTGCTTAGCCAGCCTGGGCTTGGTGGGTCCCAGCCCTTGGCCCCACTGACCTGCTCTAGCTGGCCACCAGGGCAGTAGGTGCTGAGAGCAGGAGGCAGGGGCTGGGGAGGGTGAGTGATGGGGAGTGGGGTGCCCGGCAGGGAATGGGGCTCAGGATACCAGGACCCCACCCGGTGATCTTGGATTGTGTCATTTCGTTTTTTGAATCTTCGTTTCTTCATCTGTTGAGAGATGAATCCAATACTTAATTGTTTAATCTGGGAAGGTCATTTCAAGGGAAAAATGGAATCACAGAGGAGGAGCAGCTGTGGGTGGGGTATAAAACCCCCATCTTTAGGCATAGCAGATGGGATTGGGACCAGCATCATCTCCGCCTTGCCTTTCCCAGGACCAGGGCTTCTGCACCAGTGGTTTCCAGGGTGACGACAGTTCGCAGCAGTGGATCCTGGGGGATGTCTTCATCCGGGAGTATTACAGCGTCTTCGACAGGGCCAGTAACCTCGTGGGGCTGGCCAAGGCAATCTGAGTGCGTCACCAGCTACCGGCCTCCATGTGACCAAACACACACACGCAGAGGGGATTTGCAGACAGATGGTTCCCAGTAAACACTGCACTTCTGCAAAGCCCGACTTCCCTTGTTGTCACTGGGGCTGAAGCCCTGCGCCGTTGCGGGGGTGGATGTGACTGCCAGGTGGTGTGTGGGCACAGCGGGGACTACGTGGTGGGGAGGGTTGGTGGGTGGAGACTACCTTGAGGGCAATGGCTATTTCAGGCTCAGGTCAGGGACGACCAAGGCACGCCTTACCCAACTGTTCTTCACTCTAGAGCTTTCTGGGCAAAGGGCACAGGAGGGGACACCCTTGCAGGATAAGGCTTGTTCGTTCCTGGGGAATGAGAGGTAAGGTCGTGGTGGTGTGGGGATGGCTAGAGAACACTTGACCCGTGGAGAGGAAAGCTCTAGCTGTATGAAGAGGGGGCTCTCTGCTGTTGGAAGAAGCCAGATGAAAGAGTGGGCAGGGAGTACGGGGAAAGATCTGAGTCCTAGGCTGCCATCCACTGTGGGGAGGAGCCACAGTCCAGACTCCCATCCTCAGGCTCAGGGGCTCAGGCGCTGCAGTGCTCAGCGTGGCCGTTGCCGATGGCAGGCTTGTGTTAACCTGGCTTTCAGAGGCTGATGTGTCAGAGCTGGATGCTTGTGTTCAGAGTCCCCGTGAGTGCCCAGGCTCACAGAGCCCCGGACATGCTTCTGGGGGATGGCCACGCAGGAAATCCAAACATTACAGGGGCACGCAAGGGCGGTCTGGTGACTTTAGGAAGGTTTTCTCTGTGAGGCCCCTCAGCTACCTTGGGAGGTAGGTGGACAGCTCTTGGGGAGATGACAGTGCTTGCAGTGTGCTTGGCAGACTCCCCGGACAGAGCTCTGCTGGGAGCTGCATGGGCCTGCTCTCCAGCTCTCCTTGCTTTTTCTTTGCACCCCCTTCCCACTTTAGACAGTTTTTTCCGCATCGGGGGGAAGACAATTGACCAGGCGTTTTTCTAAATCAGAGCTAGTCTTGTCTCCTCTGCTTCATCCATCCCAAATAGAGTGATCCGACTTCGTCACACCTTTATAGTAGTTCAACCCTCAGAAGGCCTTGGGAAGCGGGTGGGGCCATCTTGCCATCTGGCCCCACCCCTACCTCAGGCTGACCACAGGCCTGCCCTGCAAATAGCTGGAGCAGGTGAGTAAGGCCCATGTCTGCAGGAGCCAGAAGCTGCAGGTTTGGCAGGGACACTTCACAAAGGAGACTGTTGTTCATGAGGAGTGAGGTGGGGGCAGGAGGGAGTGGGCTCTGACTTCCTTCTCGCAGCGGCAGCTGCCGACGGGGTCTGGTTGACAGGCCATCTGGGGGCATCTCCTGGGCCTTTCTTAGCAGTACCCAAGGACAAACGAGATGAGGGGCCCAGGGCAGCGGAGGTGCTGTCTGTGGTGCCTGTCTGGGTTTGTGGCTGTGCAGCCAGCTTGGCCACAGAGGCAGAGAAGAGGCTGGGCTGTGGGGGTGAAGTGGAACAGGAGCTGCTGTCCCTGGGTGAGCTGAGGAGCCTGGTGTGGGATGGAGTAGAGGCCACAGGAGAACACCCCTGAACTTCAAGGGCAGAGGGTGGTGCCAGCAATGCACAGGCCTTGGCATTTGAGTCTTACTCGGCCGGTGAGGCGAGCGAGGTGCCGAGGAGTCAGTCTGGCTTTGGGAGGCTTCTCTAAGCCTCGCTGTTCTTATCTAGGACCAATACTACGTTTGCCAAGAATGAGACAGAATTGGGCCACTTTCATTATTTTTACGCTTCTTGTATATTTTAAAAAATGCCAAATAGACTTACACAAATGGGTATAGATTTCAATGGTTTACATTTAGCAACTGTGTTTTCAACACCCACATCCCAACTGGAGATAATGTAGAAAGTCTAAATATAATGACTTTCACAGATGCGAGGTGTGGACAAAACGAGTTCTGCCTCACGCCCTGCCCAGTTGGCCCTGGTGGCGAACCCTGTCCTGGGAGGACAGTGAGGGCACACTGGGAGGACGGTGAGGGCACACATGGGAGGGTGGTGAGGGCACACCTGGGAGGGCGGTGAGGGCACACCTGGGAGGGTGGTGAGGGCACACCTGGGAGGGCGGTGGGGGCACACATGGGAGGGCGGTGAGGGCACACATGGGAGGGCGGTGGGGGCACACCTGGGAGGACGGTGAGGGCACACATGGGAGGGCGGTGGGGGCACACCTGGGAGGACGGTGAGGGCACACATGGGAGGGCGGTGGGGGCACACCTGGGAGGACGGTGAGGGCACACATGGGAGGGTGGTGAGGGCACACTGGGAGGACGGTGAGGGCACACTGGAAGGGCGGTGAGGGCACACCTGGGAGGGCGGTGAGGGCACACTGGGAGGGTGGTGAGGGCACACCTGGGAGGACGGTGAGGGCACACTGGGAGGGCGGTGAGGGCACACTGAGAGCGCGGTGGGGGCACACCTGGGAGGGCGGTGAGGGCACACTGGGAGGGCGGTGAGGGCACACTGAGAGCGCGGTGGGGGCACACCTGGGAGGACGGTGAGGGCACACTGGGAGGGCGGTGAGGGCACACTGGGAGGGCGGTGAGGGCACACTGGGAGGGCGGTGAGGGCACACTGAGAGCGCGGTGGGGGCACACCTGGGAGGGCGGTGAGGGCACACTGGGAGGGCGGTGAGGGCACACTGGGAGGGCGGTGAGGGCACACTGGGAGGGCGGTGAGGGCACACTGAGAGCGCGGTGGGGGCACACCTGGGAGGGCGGTGAGGGCACACTGGGAGGGCGGTGAGGGCACACTGAGAGTGCGGTGAGGGCACACTGGGAGGGTGGTGAGGGCACACTGGGAGGGTGGTGAGGGCACACTGAGAGCGCGGTGGGGGCACACCTGGGAGGGCGGTGAGGGCACACTGGGAGGGCGGTGAGGGCACACTGAGAGTGCGGTGAGGGCACACTGGGAGGGTGGTGAGGGCACACTGGGAGGGTGGTGAGGGCACACTGAGAGCGCGGTGGGGGCACACTGGGAGGGCGGTGAGGGCACAGTGAGGCTGCTGTGTGGGGCACCCCCCTCCTGCTAACGTGGTGGTGCAGCACAGCACCCTGTGGCCTCAGCTCTCTTCCTGGGGGCAGAGAACGGTCTTCCTGGAATGTTCTCTACTCTCCAACTCCTCTGAATTTCAATCGACCTTCAAACCTCGACTCAGCCAACATCTCTCCAGGACGCTCCTGACCAGGCTAGGGCTTAGTATCATACCCCTTACTTCCCCGTCGGTCTTCCTCATGGCCTGTGGGCTCGCTGAGGACAGATGCTGTGCACCTCTCTCTCTCTTTTTCTTTTCTTTTTTTAAGACAGAGTCTTACTCCATTGCCCAGGCTGGAGTGCTGTGATGCAATCTCAGCTTACTGCAAACTCTGCCTCACGGGTTCAAGTAATTCTCTCACCTCAGTTTCCTGAGTAGTTGGGATTACAAATGTGTGCCACCATGCCCAGCTAATTTTTGTATTTTCAGTAGAGATGGGGTTTCACCATGTTGTTCAGACTGGTCTCGAACTCTTGACCTCAAGTGATCTGCTCACCTCAGCCTCCCGGGCGTGAGCCACCACGCCCACTGCACCTCTCATTTTGATATCTTGGGTGTTCAATACATGGAATGCCCCATCAAATATTGTAGGGTGAATGCATGAATGAGTCACTCAGTTGGCGAGGTCCTCAAGAGTCACTCTGCTTCCTCTGTCTCCTTTTTCTTCTTGGATCTTTATATCCCCCCTTCTCAGCACACACTCAAACCTGCTCCCCATGTCTTCTCCCTCCCCTGGCTGGCCTAGGACACTCCCCTTCCCTTGCTGTGTCCGTGGAACTCCTCTGTGCATGCTGGGAGGACAAGCTGCCACCAGGGTTTTAAGATGCTGGGCAGGGGTCCACACTGGGCTCTGTGGCCAGGCTTCTGGGAGTTGTGCCAGGTGGTGACTTAGGAGCCCTTGGGAAGGGGCCACCAGCACATCCACTGTTTGCTTGTGAAGAGGGCCTACCTGGAGGCCAAGGAGGAGCTGCAAGGCTAGAGGGGCCCCTTTGCAGGGCGGGTCTGACTTGTTCCTGAATCTCCCACCAGCCCTATCTGTCAATAGGTCCCAGGCAGGGAGAGGGCAGCCGAGGAAACCTTGGCGGCCATTCACGTTCACCCAGCAGGCGTTGGCTGTGGTCTGTCCTGCCACGGCCGCATCCGACACCTGCAGGGCTTGCCTCTGGGCGTTTGTGCCCCCTGTTCCTTTTGCCTGCTATACCTTTCCACCTTTCTAACTTGTCAACTGCTCCTCGTCCTTCAAGGCCAGCCTAAATGTCACCTCCTCTAGGGTCCCCACCCCTCTGCTTTCTCATTGCATTTATTGTGGTGTAATTGTTTGCTGACATATCTCTCTCTCTGACTGAATTGCTGATGGACAGGGCTTGCTTCCTTCCTCCCTGAATCCTCAGTGCCCAGCAGAGTCCCTAGAATGCTGTGGAGGCTCAGCCAGTGCTGAAGGGTAGTGTACGCCTTACAATGCGGCACACGTAATGAGGCTGAGAGATGCAAGCTCACAAAGATGTGAATGTGTGCACACAAGTACACACATGCACATGCCTGCCCTGGCCCTGAGTAGACACAGGCCCAGGCCCCAGTTCTAGAGCCCTATTCCCAGCCCCTGTCCTCCCCTGTCACTCAACGCCTTGCCAGTTCTTATGCTAATGAGAGGAAGCGTTTGGGCAGAGAGAAGCTTGGAAAGGAAGTCTTTGAAATGGAAATGTTATGACAAAATGATGGATTGTTTTCCGAGCTGTGCAGTTTGTTTCTTTCTTGCAGCAGAAGGGAGAGTATAACAGAGACAGGAGTGGCAGAGGCTGCCCATGTCAGCAAGCCCCAGATGGCAAGAAGTGTGGGTGAAACACCAGGGAATGTGGGGTGAGGGGAAACTGCAGAGCAGGCAGAGGGACGCGGCCCAGCTACTGTCCAGGAGCCCCGGTCATGGCTGGACCCGACTGGCCAGCGCACACAGTGGCTGCCTGGAGGAGGGGCTCTGGAGACAGGAGGGCCATGTGTGACCCGTCCTTCTGCCAAGGCTGCAGTATGCACACCCGGCAGGGCTCACCTCTGAGCCTCTGTGGATGCTGTTCCTTTGCCTGAGATATTCTTTCCACCTTCTCTAACCGGCAAACTGCTCTTCATCCTTCAAGATCAGCTGTTATCTTATCTCTTCTGAGAAGACTCCTACGGCCTGTGAGGCACCCAAACCCCCCAAACCATAGGAATACTCATTGGCTGATCCCTAGTTCCTTGATTTACTTGGGGCTAATTTGAATTGTTGCCTATTTTACTCATTAAAAATATGCATTGCATACTTGCTGTGTGCAAAGTGCAAGGGCACCGTGTCCATTGGTGAACACAGACCCTTTATACTCATGGGACTGTGTCCTGGAGGGACACAGACAGTGATGTAATCGATGCGTAAGTTATGTGGCTTCTGGGTGGTTATAAGCACATGGGAAAGTGGAGGGCTGAGGGAACACACTGCTTTGAAATGAGGCAGGAAGGGTAGGCTCAGTGACAAAGTGACATTTGAGCAAAGACATGAAAGATGGGTCAGCCATGCAGATATGGGGGCAGGTACTGTGTGTAAAGACAACACCTCTGCATTTAATAAAGAGAAGGTACAGGTAGATACATTTGGATACATACGTTTATGCCAGTTATCTTTATAATGAAAGACATGTTACATTTCAATTGCTTTGTATCCTTTATAGCACTTAGTGTTTGACTCGGAGTAACTGTTCAGTAGATGTATGTTGAATGAATAAACAAACTCCAAACTGCCTCCCTCTAAACCCTTCAGCCACAGTGGTGGTGGAGGGCTGCCCAGGCGTCAGCTCTTGTCCTGGAGCGCCCTCTACTGACCAAATCTCAGATGCCAGCTTTGTACACTTTGTTTACATCCTGTAACTTTCTCCTTCCCTCCCCAGGAGACCTTGGGGACTGTGGCCAACCAAGCAATAGAATTAACTAAGTGTCTCCAATGTACAGTGGCAGATTCTACACGAAACATGCAGACACAGGATATGTGTGGTTCCTGCCCTCAAATCCCTCACTCACTGGACATTTCTGGTTAACCATTTCCTTCTCAATCTTTGCTCTCTGATAATCCTCCCTTTCTGATCTTTTTGGATCATCTGTAATACTGGAATTACATTTTGAGCTGGGGCTGGCTGGGTGAGGATGTGCATACTGTGTGCCTGATGGGCTTGGGAACGGCATTAGCTTTCCAGGTCAGCTGAATAGCCTATCACTCTGTAGCAGTGGAGGGGTCTTCGAAGATAGCTAGGATCTGGTCCATTAGGCACTCCATGGAGTTTCAGAGCCAAGGCTGAGGCTGGCTGGATAACATGCAGACTAATCTTGTCGTCCCATTCTGGCTGGTGGAATTGTGCCTCCTTTCTGAGGACTTCTCATGGCCCTGGCCACCTTCTCTGGGCTGGCAGCCTTGGTATCCTCAAAGCCACGACTGAAGCTGCATTCCCAGGTGCTGAGCCTCCCCCACCTTTTGTCCTTGTCCTCTCCTCTGGCCCCATCCATGAAACTTGAGAACCCCTTTCTTTCCCAGAGCTCTGTTTAACATTGAGACCAGAATAACTTCGTCCTGGTAGCTTTATTTTTAGGGCCTGGAACAAGGAACAAGGAGCCTCTGGACACAGGCCCCCCATGTGTCAGGGAAGGTTGGGCCCACAGGTGCCAGACACACCTCCCACAGCTTTGGAAGTCCTGTAACCTGGGCCTTTCCCTGCAGTGCTAAAGCTCAGCCACATCCCCATATCAGCTGCCTGGGCGCACATTTCTCATTGAGAGCACAGCTCTTATGCAATGAGGTGGGTGTGGGCAAACTGGCTGTCCAGATGCCCAGGCTTAAGTCAGTGCCCTGGGACTACCTGAGTTATGCTGGGTACCAGTCTCTTGGCCTCAGCTCCTGAAACAGGAAGGCAGGTGGCCTCAAGCTGAAGGGATGCTTTGGCCTGAGTTCCACCACCTGAGCTCATGCCCCTTGTAGAGTGGATAATATGCAAAGAGTAGAGAATCTCCAAGTGCTTTCCTGAGTCCACACTTCTTCTGGGAGGCTCAGACACAGACCAGTTGTGGAGAGAGTGGAGTGGGAATCTGAGAGTCTTCAGAAATTGTGCATTGGCCTGAGAGTTTGATAAATGAATGGGTTACAGCTGGTGCGAAAAGTACCCCATGAACTCTCATCGCTGGGTGGCAGCCTGGCTATGGATTTGGACTGGGTTTCAAAGATTTTATTTGGACCTAAGAGGGAGAAAAGAGGCTTTCTGCATCCCACAGAGTGCTTCTTGGCAAAGGCCAGTGGGCACTTGTGCACATGTCTCCCAAGCCACCTTCTCTCCTCTGACCACTGAGACCTACCTTAGGCAGCATCCTAGAGAGGTATCTTCCTGCCTGTCATCCCCATGTGGCCCTGCTTCCCATTAGTCCTGACTTCCCCAGCCCCTAAAAGTAGCTCTTTCCCAGGGCTGGAGTTGCCTTGGCCTGCTGGGAACACACCAGCCTGCGGACTAGTCAGGCCCTGAGGGGTGCAGGCACTAGGTGGGACCTGATGTATCTCTCCAACAGAAGCAGAGGGACACCGGAAAATCACTGGCCCCACTGGAGATGCCTGAGCCGGGAAGATGAAAGAGGATGATACAGGGGACTGTCTTTTTTCTCACACAGCTGGCAGCCCTGGCCTGGCGTCTGAGAGACAAATGTGCCAGGCATTTGCCTTGTCAAATGAATTATCTTTCCTTCCCTCTCATCGAATATTTACTGAGCATCCCCATCACTACAAGCTGAAGCCACGATGGTGAGCAAAAGTGCTCTTCGTCCTCACAGAGCTTTATGGAGGTAAGAGTTATTGGGAGTTTGGTCTTGGTGAGAGTTACTGGGAGGGACCATATTTTGGATTTAGGTTTTAAATAGTCTGTCTTATGGTTCCCTCAACTGATTGCAGTGTCCTAAAAAAGCTGGTAATCCTGAAATCACACTCCATCAGTCAGACTGTTACTGACGCCAGCAAGCATCACAAAAATCTTTTGTTAGGCTTCGTGTCCCAGTTTTTAATCCAGAAGGTGTGATTCCCATTCACACAGGGCTTCTGAGCCCCTGACGTAAAGCAGGGATTTGAATGGAAGAAAGAGAAGCAGCTGCAGGCCCATGTCTAGAAACCCCGAGTGTGCTCTCAGCCTGCTTGTGAAATCCTCTCCCTCCCCAAGTCAGGGCAGGGCCTGGGACCCACTCCTCTGTCTCCTGCTCCCGACAGACCACCTGGCCTTCACCAGCCTCCAGACAACCTACAGAGCTCCCTGGATGATAGGATGCAACCTTTATCATGTCAGCGGGGTTTGCTGGAGGGTGTGAGAGTTGAAGCTGGAGGCAGTCTAGAGCTGTGCTGTGATGGGAAGTGGTAGGAATGGGGATGTTAGGGACTGAATTGTGTCCCCCCCAAATTCACATGCTAAAGGCTCAACCCCAAAGTGACTGTGTTTAGAGATGGGCTTTTAAAAAGATAATTAGGGTTAACCGGGTCATATAGGTGGGCCCTCATCTGATGTGACCAGTGTCTTTAGAAGGAGAGGAAGAGACGCCAGCCAGGTGCATGCGCAGAGGAAAGGCCGTGTGAGCATGCAGTGGGGGGTGGGGGGTGGGGGAGTGGGGGGGTGGGGTGGCCTTCTGCGAGCCAGGGAAAGAGGCCTCACCACAAACCAGCTCTGATGGCTCCTTGATCTTGCACTTCCAGCCTCCAGAACTATCTTTAAGCCGCATGGCCTGTGGGCTTCTGTCATGGCAGCCTGAGAGGACCGAGACAGGGGAGTCTCAGCAGGGCTCCTGTCTGAAACTGGGCCAGGGAAATGGGAGACAGCCACTGTCCCTGGGATTTGCTCTTGAAGGGTTTGGCAGCTCTGACCATCTCCTTAGGCTGACTGGTTGGCAGCCCCAGTGTCTGAGACCCTGGGGCCAATGATTCTCCTATCAGACCTCCTGGCCGTTGCAGAGGATGTCAGGTGGTGGTGGTGGGGGGATCTAAAGGCCATGACTTCTTTCCTTGATGACATAAGACCGGATCCTCTAGGGTGGGCAATGCTCAGAAGCTCTCTTATTAGACAGCAGAGGCTGAAACTCGCAGGCAGGCCACATCCTCTTGGAGGGTCTCTGGTTAATCACTGTTGTCATCAGCATGAGGTCCCTTGAGGGATGCTGCTACCTTTAACTCCCAAACTCTCTGGTTCTAATGTGGGTGCACAACTCTTACTGTCATTCTTTGAGTGCATGGGTTATGGATGACCCAAAGGGGAAAAACGTGCCAAGATGGTCCCACTTAAGAGCTGTGGTGTTGACCCAGTCCATCTCGTGGCTAATTTCTTTATGACAGATATCATCTGTATTAGCTTCCTATTGCTGAACTGTAACAAATTATCACAAACTTAGTGGCTCAAAACACCACACATTTATTATCTATGGTTCTGTAGGTTGGAAGTCCCAAATCAGTCTCACTGGGCCAGAATGTACAAGGCTGCATTCCTTACAGAGCTCTAGGAGATGACCTGTTTCATTGCCTTTTCCAGTTTCTACAGGCTGCCTGCATTCCTTGGCTTGTGGTCCCATCACTTGATCTCTGCTTCTGTGGTGTAGCTCCTGACTCTGACCTCCCACCACCCTTTTATAAATGCCCTTGTGGTTATAGGGAATCCATCCAGATAATCCAGGTTAACCTCCCCGTCTCAACGTTCTGGGGATTAGGATGTGAACATCTTTGGAGGCAATATTCAGCCTTATTATTCAGCATTATTGCACTTTGCCATGAAGCTTATCTCCAGGCAGTTTACCTTTTTGAGATCTAGATCTGAGAGAGAGAGTGGTTCAGGCAGAGACAGGGGTTCCCTGCATCTGCTCCAGGCTCCTTTCCTCGGATGACTGACATCAATCATTCATTTCCTTCACAGCACCCCTTTTCCTCATCCTCAGGGGATGTCCTTTCTCTGTGGCTGCTGTGAGACAGGTTCATTAGAATAACACCCAGTACCTCTGTCATCGTACTCGCCCCAAACCACAGCAAGCTGATCTCCTCACAAAAGCCTGAGATCTGAGGTTGGAAGCCATCACCACTAGACACTTCTCCTTCCCACAAATTGCATGCCTTGCCCACCAAACCTCACCATTTTCTTTACTGGGAATTGTTTTTACAAAGGGAGAGAGAATATTTGGCTTTTAGATGCCTAAGCCAGGGAGAGGGAAAGAGAAGGAAGGAGGCCGGGCGCGGTGGCTCAAGCCTGTAATCCCAGCACTTTGGGAGGCCGAGATGGGTGGATCACGAGATCGAGACCATTCTGGTCAACATGGTGAAACCCCGTCTCTACTAAAAATACAAAAAATTAGCTGGGCATGGTGGCGCGTGCCTGTAATCCCAGCTACTCGGGAGGCTGAGGCAGGAGAATTGCCTGAACCCAGGAGGCGGAGGTTGCAGTGAGCCGAGATTGCGCCATTGCACTCCAGCCTGGGTAACAAGAGCGAAACTCCGTCTCAAAAAAAAAAAAGAGAAGGAAGGAGCCACCTTCGAAAACTGGAGCTGTCCAAGCCAGGGGTGGCCTTGGAGTCCTGGCACTGGCATCTGAGTCCACCTCGGGGGCTTCATTCCAGAGGGGTGGGAATGATTCCACCTGGCCACCAAAGCCAGGTATCTGGGGAAGATGGCACTGCCTTGACACTAAGTTTTGGATAAATAAGTAAAAATGTTTTGTCCTCATTATAAGTGGTAACTATATGGAACTTTTGTCTGGATATGGTAGTAGTCTGAATATAGAAATAAGTTTTTAAAAGTTTAGATAGGCCAGGTGCTATGGCTATGGCTCATGCCTGTAATCCCAGCACTTTGAGAGGCCAAGGTGGGCAGATCACCTGAGGTCAGGAGTTCGAGACCAGCCTGGCCAACATGGCGAAACCATGAGAATAGGATGTCTCAACTAAAAATACAAAAATTAGCTGGGCATAGTAGCAGGTGCCTGTAGTTCCTGCTACTTGGGAGGCTGAGGCAGGAGAATCACTTGAACCCAGGAGGCAGAGGTTGCAGTGAGCCAAGATCATGCCACTGCACTCCAGCCTGGGTGACAGAGCAAGACTCTGTCTCAAAAACAAATACATAAATAAAAGTTTAGATAAATTTTAGGATGTCAGACTGGGTTCAGTTCCAGCCCTGTTCACTCATTAGGCCATGTGACCTTGATTTTCTGACCTTTCTGAGTCTCTGTTTCCTTAATTTAAAGTGGAACACACAAGCCCTTCCCCCAGCAGACTGTCAAAAGGAGTGAGAGAATGAGTGTGCAAGTGTTTTGTACGGCATATGCTACGCAGGAGTAGTATTATTACTAGAGGAATGTGAGCGTGCTGAGAAGCATTCAGCACCTGGGAGGGCAGGCCAGGGAGGACAATTGTACCTCCCTACGGCCTGTACCTTGGTGATAGGAAACAAGGTTGGGTGGTCCAGGGGTTTCCCCAGTGTGGGAGACCTTGTATGTTCATGTGTGAAAAGGCTCACAGCTCTACTCCAATGTGCCCCTTTCATTTCACCCATGCCCTCTGCTGGTCCAGCTCCACATTGGCCAATGAGATCACATCCTGCAACACGCATCAGCCCCGTGGTTAATAGCCTTCCAACATGGCCTCCGGGAATCCCTGCTTTCTGGTCGTCCTGCACATGTTTAATCCTCTCCCCTCGAGCGTGGGCTGGATTTTGTGACTTGCTTGTAACAAATAGAAGATGCAAAAGCAACGTGTTTGGTTTGCGAAGACTGTGGATTCCATCTTGTTTGTACTCTCTCTTGCTTGCGATAAGGAAGGAAGCTGCCATGTTGTGAGCGGCTCTGTGAAGAGGTCCCTGTGGCAAGGACCTGAGGATCTCTTTCAGCCAAAGCCAGAGAGGAATTTCCCCCGCCCCCAGTCCAATAGCCAGGAGAGAACAAATCCTCCCAACTACCACTGAGTGAGCCCAGAAGCTCCCCTCTCCCACTGCAGTAGAGACTTGAGGTGACAGCAACCCTACCCAACATTTTGACTGCAGAGACATTGAGAGCTCAAGGACCCAGCTAACCTGTGCCTGTGTTCATTCCTAATCCACAGAAGGATCCACAGAAATGTGCGGTGGCTCACGCCTGTAATCCCAGCACTTTGGGAGGCCGAGGCGGGTGGATCACGAGGTCAAGATATCGAGACCATCCTGGTCAACATGGTGAAACCCTGTCTCTACTAAAAATACAAAAAATTAGCTGGGCACGGTGGCGTGTGCCTGTAATCCCAGCCACTCGGGAGGCTGAGGCAGGAGAATTGCCTGAACCCAGGAGGTGGAGGTTGCGGTGAGCTGAGATTGCACCATTGCACTCCAGCCTGGGTAACAAGAGCGAAACTCCGTCTCAAAAAGAAAGAAAAGTGCATTAATCCAGTGGAGATGTACTGTGAGATGTTGTTTTAAGCTACTGAGTGTGGGAGTAATTTGTTACATGGTGGTAGATAACTAACACACACTGTAAAGTGTCATTTGACATTAAGGAACTGCGGCATCATTACAATCTCGGTTTACTAATGCAACTGAACATCAACTCTGGGCCGAGCACACGGTGCCTTGGGGTTCTGAGGCCATGGCGATGAGCCAGACAAGACCCCAGCCTCCAAGACCTCACAGGGGCAGGTAGACACCAAAGTGCAAGCGGAGGGAGCAGAGCAAGCTTCATGCAGGAAGGGGTGTTTGGGGTGACTTGAGGGATGAATAGGATTTTAAAAGGCGGAAATAAGGTGAAGGTATTCCATGGGGGAAGAGATAGGGCAGTGCAAAACATTTTCAAGCCTGTGACCCTGAGCTGATGACAATGAGAAAAAGTTGGACAGATTCAGTTCCTCTTCTCTGGCTGGGGTTAGCACTAGGAAAAATTGGGAAGGTGCATCTTTACACAGCTTCCGAGCAATGGAGACACAGAACAGCACGGTCAGGCTGGTGTGGGAACTGTGGCGTACGGAGGTGGGGTGGCATAGAAAGGAGGGGGCTCCATTACCTTTACCTGCCAGGAAGGTTACCTGGGCTCAACCATCCTGGCTTTCCTGAGACAGCACTGCTAGTGGAGGAGGCTTGGGGCGGAGGAGCATGGAGACCTGCAGCCAAAACCCTGGGTTCAAATCTTGGCTCTGCCAAGTAGCTAGTTGTAGCATTTTGGGAAATTACTTTGCCTGCTCTGCAACTCCGTTGCCTCATCTGTGAAATGAAGCTAATTACAGATCCTGCCCTACAAGATATCATGAGACTAAGTTAGTTAATTTACATTCACTATTTCAGCTGGTGTGTGGCATGCAATAAATATGTTACTGGTATTTTTTCAAGGGACGCAATCTGATCTTTGTATCATCCCTTTTTCTTTTTCTTCCTCCTTTCCTTCCTTTATTCCAAAAATATTTCTTGAGCAGCAGACGCTGTGATGGGATTGTGCACAGGACACCGTGTGGGGATTATCACATTAAAAGGACACAGCCACGACCCTCAGAGGGTTCACAACCTTCAGGCGGGTTTTCATCCTAGGCTTTAGCCACCTTTCACAGAGTGTGAGCTGAGCAGAAATCTGCCGTGGAAGGGTCAGGCCACGGTCTACCTACATTCCACTTTGCACGGCACCTTTTACAGCTTGCTAAGAAATGTCACATATTATTTAATTCTCACAATAATGTTGGGAGCTTGGTATTATCTATTGTTACTATTAACAAATGGAGGAACCGAGGTCTAGCATGATTAAAGTAATTATCTAAGGTTACAAAGACTTTGGTGGCAAATTAGACATGACTATTTCCCACGATGTCAACAGTTTTTGAAACAGGCTGAGAGTGAGACAGGCCTTGTGGAGCATTCGGGTCCACCTGGCAGGGAGGTCTGACATCCCACGTGGGGCCGCCTGGAGTGCCGGTGTCTGGCCAGGCTGCCTGCTGGTTCTGGGCTTAGAATTCAAACCATTTCAGAATTCTGAGGCATCAATAATCCATTTGAAAGTTAAACAAGATGCCACTGAAAAAGGGCATTTTTAGTCTGAGAGGGTGGCAGCTTGACTTCCAGGTCCCAGTTAAGTCCTTTCTGCAGATGGACGCATTTGTCCAACCTGTGCCCTTCCTCCCTGGCGTGGTGGAAGGCGCCACAGGGCACGGAGGAAAGGTGGAGGACGGGGAAGAGGGTGTGTGTGCATCTGTGCACGTGGTGGGGATTTAGTTCTTGATTTTAGGGATCCTTTCTGAGAGTACAAGGCAGGGATCAGGTTATTAAGAAATTCTGAAAGATGACTCAAGCAGTTGAGTAAAAGCAGCTTCATTTTATAAACCGCCAGTGGGAGCCATTCCGGAACGTGCCCAGGTGTTCTCGTGATTGAAAACCAACCAGCTGGAAGAAGGAAGAGAGGGAGGGAGTAGACCCCTGGAGACCAGCATGTGATAGCGTGTGCCGGCGACTTGTGAGGCCTGCCCAGCCCCTCCCCCTTCCCACCCACTCCTTGCCTGCCAGGTCTTCCCCTCTCTCCTCATTGCAGGGAGACACGAGGAGGTCAGGGAGGCTGCCTGGGAGCCTGGCTTCTGCTCCCCACTAACTCCTGGCACAGTCATAGGACAGCTCCGTGGTGGGGTGCCATCTTTGCCCATGGCCGGCGGTGGGTTCCACAGAGGCCTCGATGCTGCTGAGCCAGGGAACATGAAGTGGTGGGGCCCCACACAGTGGCTGGCTGACAGTGCTGGTGGCTGCTGTTTTTCCTAGCTATAAGACTTCAGGCATATGACAACCTCTCCGAGCCAATTTCTTCATTTGGACAGGGAGGATGCTGATGCTATCTGTCAAATTCGGACCCCATGTCCCCTCCCAATTGGAGTCCCAACCCTCAGCACCTCAGAATGTGGCCTCATTTGGAGACAGGGTCTTTACGGGGTAATGAAGTTAAAATGAGGGCATTACGGTGGGCCCTGATACAATACGATTAGTATTCTTACACAAAGAAGAAATTGGGACACATAAATGAACACATAGAGAGGGAAGATGGTGTGACGAGATACAGGGAGAAGATGATCATCTACAAAACAAGGAGCCAACCCTGCTGGCACCTTGATCTTGAAATTCCAGCTTCCAGAATTGGGAGCCAATCCATGTCTACTGCTGAACCCACCCCGTCTGTGGCACTGTGTTATGGCACCTCTAGCAACCAACACAGAATACAACTCGAGCCCATAGGAAAGGCTAATATTTCTTGTGGTGGCAGGGAGGGGCCTTTCTCCTGTCCTGCCCCCATTTTCTGAGAAGCTGTGCTTGGCCAGGTCCTGCTCAGTGGGAGGCAGCTCTGGTGTCAGGGAAAGGCCTCAGGCTCAGGTCCCTGCTCCAGCACTGAGTGGATGGTGAGCTGGGCAGGCGTTGAACGTTTCAGAATGTCTGTTTTAGCAACTCCAACCTGGGGCAAATACGAAACCTCCCTGAGCAACTTGCAGGGTGGTTGTGCGGTTCAAGTGAGATGACCGTATACATGGAATCATTTCATGAACCCCACAGTGTCGATTTCTGTGGTGGCTATTACTGTCACAGGGGAGAATTCTGAGAATGACAGAGAAGTGTTGCAGAGAAGCTTGGGGGTAGGCATTCCCGCTTTGTTGGGAGTTTGATACTGCCCCAAGGGGCCCACAATGACAGTAGCCTCGCTCACAAGTGTTGCTAGTACTGGCCCACCTTGAGTTCAGGTACGCTGCTACCAAGTGGCAGCAGGAAGCCTGCTTATATGTTCAACCTTTTTCTTGAGATTCCATATGTAGGAAAATACTATTTATTTAGTGCTTGTTCTATGACGTGGGCTTCATATTTGACATTTCTTTTCTTTTTTTTTTTTCTCTGAGAGTTTCACTCTTGTCACCCAGGCTGGAATGAAATGGCGCAATCTTGGCTCACTGCAACCTCCACCTTCTGGATTCAAGGGATTCTCCTGTCTTAGTCTCCCGAGTAGCTGGGATTATATGTGTGTGCCACCAGGCCTGGCTGCCTTTTGTATTTTTAATACAGATGGGGTTGCGCCATGTTGGCCAGGCTGGTCTCCAACTCCTGACCTCAAGTGATCCACCTGCCTCTGCCTCCCAAAGTGCTGGGATTACAGGCATGAGCCACCACGCCTGGCCTCATTCAAGCTTTCTAAAGAAGCCCCTTCCATTTCCAATGTGCTTAACTTCAGGTCTCCTGGCCACATACCTTCTATTCTTTGATGTGTTATTCCAAACAAGAGAAAGAGAGCCATAGAGCCTTGCTTCTTTCTTCGCCTCTGCAGCAAGGTTTCTACCTGGTCCACGGTGAAGTCAGATGCTGCCTGCCCCCTCTCCAAAGGGGGGCATCTTGGTGCTTTATTCTCCTGATCAACAGGGAGATCCTTTTTCTCTCTCTGGCCAGAACTGCCTCCCTGACTTGAATTTGTGCCAATGCTGGACTGACTTCTCTTCCAGGCTTCTAATTCTTTTCCAGTTGAATCTGACAACATCTCCAAGTGGAGCGGGACACTAAGGTGGGAAGTAAACTTTTCTGCGTCCTCAGCACTTGGGCTCTGACCCATCACTGGTCAGATACTGCCCACACAGGGTAGGTTTATCTCGGGCTGAGTGAGCCGGAGAGTGCGAGGGTTGGCTTGCTATTAACTCACAAGGAGAAATCGGGGAGTTGGAGGGTTTAAGTTGAGACAGGCCTCAGGCCACCCACAAGGAGGGCAATGGTTTCTGGCTGACACGAGCCCATTTCCACTCCTCAAAGGCAGAGAGTCCTCATATTCGGCTCTGTAACCCCAGAGCCAGTTTTGGCATGTGGCCCGCAGCAGAATCATGGTGAATAGATACATTTTTTTTCTTTTTTTGAGATGGAGTCTCGATCTGTCACCAGGCTGGAGTGCAATGGCACGATCTTGGCTCACTGCAACCTCCGCCTCCTGGGTTCAAGCAATTCTCCTTCTCAGCCTCCAAGTAGCTGGGACTACAGGCACGCGCCACCATGCCCAGCTAATTTTTGTATTTTTAGTAGAGACGGGGTTTCACTGTGTTGGCCAGGGTGGTCTCGATCTCTTGAACTCGTGATTCCCCCTGCCTTGGTCTCCCAAAGTGCTGGGATTAGAGGTGTGAGCCATGGTGCCCAGTCCTTGGTGAACATTTGAGGAAAGAGCAAGTTCATCACCTACACCCTAAGAAAGTTAATCATCCAGTGCACGGTGAATGTTAGTTACCTCCTCCTGTGTGGAGTCTCAGAAAAAATAGAATTATTCGGATTATTCGGGGCCTGCACAGAAAATTCTGTGCCAAGAAATTACTTCAACCCAAACTCTCCAGGTAGATAGATCACAGTTATCGCCATTTTAGGGAGTGTGAGGGAGTCAGGGGGGCCTCTGATTTGGCGCTCCGGTGGCCTCGGTGCTCCCTTGGGTCATCTGTCTTTCTTTGTCTTTTTCTGTTTCTTCCTTCATCCGTTGAGCATGTTATGCACTGGACTCTGCAGTGGAACTGCAACATTAAAGGGCACGGCATGGCTCTCGAAGGGCTCACAGCCTCCAGGTGGGTCCGCCCTGGCTATACCCTTTCACAGAGTGTGGGCTGAGCAGAAATCTGCTGTGGAAGGCTCAGGCCACTGTCTACCTGCATCTTACTTTGTATAGCACCTTTTACAGTTTGCTAAGGCATCTCAGGTATTATTTTATTTAATTCTCACAATAATCTTGGAAACCTGGTATTATTTACTGTTTGCTGTGAACCAAAGAACAATCGGTGGGCATGGGAGAGATGGGGGATGAGAAGGAGATGGCACAGCCACACCTGAGTTCAGAAGAGCAGAAGACCCTGTCTAAAATTCCCGACGATGGCAGCCATTCTCTCCCCAAGCATCTAACTGGCACCTCAGTGATGGCAGTGAAATAGCATTCATTATCTGGTGACATTTCGCTGGCAGCTTTTTACCTCCGCTTCCCCTGAGATGTGATAACAAAAGTTTGTCTGATCTTCCTTTTACCCATCTCCCCAGCTCCCTGCCACCCTCAGTTCCTTTTCATCCCTGTGCTTGAGGGCATCCCTTCTTCTGTCTCAAGGTTGTGCTGGCCACAGCAAACATAGCGGTCCCCAGGGAGACCAGTCCCTCTTTCTTCCTCTTACTTCAAAGGGCCTTTGGAGGTCTCCACCCCATGGGCTGAACAGAATGTATTTCATTTTTTTAGGAGGCTGGAATCAGCTGTCAAGCAGGCAGGGGCACCTTGGGCTCTCCTTTCCTTCCCCATTTCCAGGACCCAGTAGGGAGGGAGGGGGTGAAATCTCAGGCTCCTGGGTGGGGCTGGGGAGTCCGGCCTTGTCACTGGTAGGAGGGGCCACACTCCTTCCTCAGCGGCTGGTGGAGCTGGGCCTGAGCAGGACTTCCCTGAAAGACTGGGAAGGAAGCCTCCACTTGGTAGTCAGTCACTCTCTGGGGAGGGACCTGCTGAGGTGGGGAGGCCGGGCAGAGTCAGGGCATGGTGGGGAGGGGCCTCCACATTGATTGTCCAGAAGAGCTGCCTTGAAGGCTGAGTTGCTCCACTGAAACGGGACAGGGCCTTCTGAGAGACCTTCAGAGCTGGGGTTTCAGAGAGGAAGGAGTCTTGGATCTCTTCGCCTTCCTGGAACCCTGCCTACCAGGAAGAGTGGCCTGCAGGTTGGAAGGTAGGACAGCTCTGAGGGCTGTTGCTGCTGCTGCTTCCCCTGTCAGAAACCCATCCCCGTCACTTCTCAGATGGATGTCGGGGAGAAGATGGCTACAGACCAGACCTCAGCAGATCACTAAACAAACCAAAGCTCATAGTACAAAATCAGATTCTCCTCCCTGCCCGCGTGCATTCCCTGACCTCAGGACAGGCTGGCAGACCTTAGCGCAGGTTTGTCTCCTCTAGAGGGCAATGGTCACAAGCCTAGATGCTTCTGGAGCTGGCAGGCCAAGTGTCAGGGACACCAGAGGGAGGCAGAGGGGCTGGCGACCTGGAGAGCAGCCTCTGCTGCTGTGGCCATCCAGGTTGGCCAAGTCTTCTGATTTTCCAGCAGAAGTCAGAAATACATTTTACAAAAGTTCTGTGATAAAAAATTTTAAGCATATACAAAAGTAGAGAGAATAGGAAAGTGAGCCCGCATAGACCCCACAACCTGCATTTGATGATTATCCAGATTTTGCTGCCTTTGTTTCATCTGTTTTTATTATTGTTAAGATTTTAAAAATGTGAACTCTCCAGACTTCTAAATGTTGGCTCAAAATTTTCGAAAACACAAATGAGTTTCATCGTGGGGGCAGCTGTGGGCAACGCTGCTCAGGGGAGCTGGGTTTCTACTGTGGGCCAGGAGCGTGTGGGGACCCTGGGCCAGGCCTCCCCTGTGCTCTATCCCGGCTACACTCCAGGGTTCAGGGCCCATGCCCTAAAGCCTCCAAGAGCCACCTGCAGTCACACTTCTCACAGAAGGAGAGTAGGTGTGGGGCAGACTGAAATCTTACTAGGCATATTGCTGGCTCAATTTTGTCTCTTTAGGGTATGGGGAGGGAGAGCTTAGAGGCACAAGTCTTTAATTCAAAGGATATTTATTGAGCACCTGCTATGAGCCATGATAGGTTCTGGAAATATAGCAGTGCACAGAAAAAAATCCCTGTCTTTTGGAGTTAACATTTTTGTAAGAAATTATAGGTAATTAGATACAAAGGTGATTGTGTGTGTGTGCCTGTGTGTGTGTTTATATATTCCCACACGTTGAGCATCCCAAATCTAAAACTCTGTAATCCAAAGTCTTCAACTTTTTGATTCAGAACATGACACCACACGAGTAATATTTCATACCTGACCCCATGTGACTGGTCACCATCAAAATGCAGGTACACATCACACAGTGTGTTCAGTGCTCTCAAAGCAAAAAAGACCTCTCAGCTGCAACAGATCTTCAGTCGGCCCCTTTCCAGATCCCCCAAGCAACATGCCCACAGGGTAATAAAATGCATGCACGTAGGCCAGACATGCCCCACGTAGGGCCAAGACCTACGTGCATTACCCACTGTGTTATTTTGCTTATTCTCTGCTCTGTGTAAAGATATTGTGGAAAATGTCAAAAAGACCTCCATGGTGCCCTGAGGGTAATGCAAATATTTTGAAATCTGAAAAAAATCCCAAAAAACCCATATCAGAAACACCTCTGGTCCCAAGCATTTTGGATAAGGCATCCCCAACCTGTAAATGCGTGTGTGTATGTGTATGCGTGTATATATACATACCTGCTACATGGAGGATGGCTGCCTCCAGGGGCACAAAGGCTGGCCAGCAGAGGCAAGCTGAGGCCAGTGGACAGAGGTGCTGATATGAGCTCTGAAGGAGTAGGTTGGATCTGCAGACTCAGTGGACCTAGGATGATGACTGGCTCTCCTGGATTTCTCGGTCATGTGAGGCAATAAGGTCCTCTCCTCTGTTTCAGTTAGAGCTGGGTTTCTGCGACCTGCAACTGAATGTGTCCTCCCTAATGTATTCTTGCACCAGTGTGTATATCCTCAGTGAGTGCCTGGGCCAATTTGGGGAGGGAATTCCTGCAAAGCAGAGTGAGGGTTATGCGGGCCCATCAGACCAGCTGCTGACCAGCCTGTGAGAGCAGCGCAAGGGAACCTTGTGTGTGAGCAGCTTCAGGCCACATTGCATTGGCAGGTCTGTGCCCAGGAGGTGGCCTCAGAGGTCCTGCAGAGCCTTTAGTCTCGAGTGGCTGAACTCCTCTAAGTGGCCTCTGCATAGTGTGGGTCAGGAAAGGCTTATGCAGTGAGAGGTGGGTCAAACCTCAGCCACTCTACTGTCCCAGAACCTCAGGGAATGCTGCTGGCCCGTGTTATAATATCAGCACCTTTGGTTTGGCTATGAGTGAAAGTGAATTGAGGGTGGCAGTATAAAGATTAAGGTTCTTGACCAAGAAGGTAGGGACATAGGACAGGTAGGGTGCCATCTGTGTATAATCACCTCAATTTTGTGCCCTTCCATTTGGGGTTCCCAGAATGACTTCCCCACTGATATGGTTTGGCTGTGTACCCACCCAAATCTCATCTTGAATTGTAGCTCTCATAATTCCCACGTGTCATGGGAGAGACCCTGTGGGAGGTAATTGAATCATGGGGGCGTGTTTTTCCCCTGCTGTTCTCATGATCGTGAGTCAGTCTCACGGGATCTGATGGTGTATAAAGGGGAGTTCCTCTGCACACGCTCTCTTGCCCGCTGCCATGTGAGACGTGACTTTGCTCTGTATTTGCCTTCCACCATGATTGTGAGGCCTCCCCAGCCATGTGGAACTGTGAGTCCATTAAATCTCTTTCCTTTATAAATTACCCAGTCTCTGGTATGTCTTTATTAGCAACATGAGAACAGACGAATACACCCACAATATGCCATAGAGAAATGTTACCTAACTTTTTGAAGCTTCAGTTTTCTTATCTGCTAATGGAAATAATATCTACTTTATAGTCGTTGTTAAGATGAAATGAAAAACATGTGTAAAGTATTTAGAATGTTGTAATTGTTTATTAAACATGACGTTGTCCCTACCACTACTTCTGTCTATGCCCCCACGTTACTAATTCTTTTTTTATTTTTGAGAGGGGTTTTGCTCTGTTGTCTATGCTGGAGCGCAGTGGCACAATCTTGGCCCATGGCAATCTCCACTTCCCAGGCTCAAGCAAACCTCCCATCTCAGCCTCCTGAGTAGCTGGTACAGGTGCCCATCACCATGCCTGGCGAATTTTTGCATTTTTTGTAGGGACGGGTTTTTGCCACATTGCTCAGGCTGGTCTCGCACTTTTGAACTCAAGCAATCCGCCCACCTTGGCCTCCGGAAGTGCTGGGATTACAGGCGTGAGCCACCGTGCCTGGCCGCCTATGTTTATTAATTCTATGTTTATGCTGTCT